CTGTCTGTGTGTCCCTGTCTGTCTGTGTGTCCCTGTCTGTGTGTCCCTGTGTGCAGGCAGGCTCAGATCAGTCCCAGGCTCTGCTCCAGGGCCCAGCCATGGCCCCAGAGCCACGGGCAGGGACTGAGCCCAGCAATTCCCCCTGCACAGGAGGCACAACTTCTGCCCTGGGCAGGGACCAGAGAGGGGCTGGGGTCTCCTCCCTGGAGACATCCCAAACCCACCTGGATGCGTTCCTGTGTCACCTGTTCCAGGTGGCCATACCTAGGCAGAAGGTTGGGCTGGATCATCTCCAGAGGTCCCTTCCAAGCCCAGCTATTGTGGGATTCCCTGAGTCTGCCGCGGATACCCAAGATCTGTCGGCGACACTCGGGATGTCGCTGGGCTCCGGGGCCGTGTCCTGGCCCGGGCTTCCCGCTGGGAATGGCCCCGGAGCGTCCTTGGCCGCGGGGATTCCTCGGGAAGCGGAGTCGTTCGCCCTCTCCTGTCGGTGCTGTCGCGGTGTTGGCATCTTTCCCGGTGTCCCCCCGAGCTTTCCCGGTGTCCCCCCGAGCTTTCCCGGTGTCCCCGCCCTTGTGTCCCTTTCCCCCTGCTCCAAACTTCCCCCGTCCCTGCCCGGAGCTTTCCCGATCCCAGCACAGCTTCCCGATGTCCTCCCGCAGCCAGCAGGTGAGCTCCGGGATTTTGGGCGTTGCCTTTGGGATTAAGTGATGCTTTTTGTCCTTCCGCTTTTCCTGGGTACCATGGGAAGTTCCTGACCCAGCTCTGCAGAGGCCGATGTGGCTTCAAAGAGAAGGAATATTTTTAATTTTTAGCACTATTTACCTAAAAATCCTGAGTTGCTCAGCAGCAGTGTTCAGGTGTCTCTTTTCTCTGGCACTTGTATCATAAAAGTCCTTTCCATCCACCAAAATTCCATTTATTGAATGATTTTAATCCTGGAGAACTGGATTTGTAAGGAAGGGTGTGCAGCATCTGTCCTACAATTGTCAGATTATCTAGAGAACAGCTTTGGCAAAGCTGAATTATTCCCCTTAGGAATGGCTCCAGAATGGTAAATACTGTCTGTGTCTCATTTCCACATTAGAAAATTAAAAATTATTAGGATTTTGTTTATTTACCTGTTTCAGTTTCTCAGTGCTGTTTCCATTTTCAGTTCGACTGGACTTGCTTTATATCACTTCTAAATTGATTTTTTATTTTTTTTGTACAGAAAGGAATATTCTCTCTGTTTTAAGATGAAATTAGGATATTTCTGGTCAGTCAATCTGTCATTTTTGTTTTTACCTTCCACTTTAACTCCACATGGAAAGGTTTATAATATTAGTTTATGAACTCGGCCTGAAATCTGCTAAGTCTGGGATGAAAACACGATGAGGGAAGAGCTGTACACCAGGGATACAACATGGATTTTTAATAGGAATCCTGTAGGGAGAGACAGGACATACAAACCTCTAATTAGGCATGGAAGGGACCTCACAGCCCACCCAGTGTCACCCCTGCCATGACACCTTCCACTGTGCCAATGTCCAACCTGGCCTTGGGCACTGCCAGGGATCCAGGGGCAGCCACAGCAAATCTGGGAATTCCATCCCAGCCCCTCCCAGGGAACAATTCCTAATTCCCAAAATCCCATCAAATCCTACTCTGAAGCCATTCCCTGTGTGCTGTCCCTCCATTCCCTGGGTGCTGTCCCTCCATTCCCTGGGTGCTGTCCCTCCATCCCTTGGCAATTGTCTCTCTCCATGGTTCCTGCAGCTCCTTCAGGCCCTGCAAGGCCACCCTGAGCTCAGCCCAAAGCTTCTCCTCTCCAGGCTGAACAATCCCAGCTGTGCCAGCCTTTCCTCCCAGCAGAGCTGCTCCATCCCTCTGCTCATCCTGCTGCCTCCTCTGGGCTCTCTGCAGCAGCTCCAGCTCCTCCCCGTGCTGGGATCCAGGTTTGGGGCAGCTCTGCAGGTGGGGTCTCACCTGAGGGGGCACAGGGGCAGAATTTTGAGCTCTTTTTTTTTCATTTCTGAAGAAATATTGAAAGAGAAATTGCTATTTAACTTCAAGTCTCCTTTCCCTTTTCTGCTCCCAGGCCATGCACCCTCCCCATGTGTAGCAGCAGCTCTGGGAGGGGTTGTTGGTGTCTGACAGGAAACTTCTCCTTTGTTAAAGCACTTCTCATGTTCAGGCTTGTCCTTGCTTCTCAGAGTTGAGCTGGACTCATTTTTTTTAAAGCAATAACCTAATTGCTTGTGCTAATTAAGGCCCTTTAGCAGAGCAGTGCAGAATTTAGGTCAGCTTTTCTTTGCTGTCCCTTTGTGCTCCTGTTCTAGCTTTTCCCAGATCCTCTTCCCAGGCTCTCAGGATGTCAGCCTTGATTGGATGTGGATGTTTTCCTGCTGCCTCAACCCCCTGGCCCATTTTGGCCATCCTGTACCACCAGGAAAGACAAAAATCTGCCGGAATTCCCAGTCTGCTGGAGTGATCCTGGTTGGAAGTGGTGGGGTGCAGGGTGGGCAGTCAGGATTGTCCCCTGGTCGGAGGGAGCTGAGCCTTGGGGTCTGTTTGCCTGGGGAAGGAGCAGGACAGGAGCTTTATCCCCAGGGAACTCTGCAGTCCTCAGTCACCTGCTGCCCTTTCCAGCTGGGAATATTTCAGAATTGAAGCAGGTTCTCCATTATGGGAGAAGGGAAGGATAAACCATGGAGTGTGTGAAGGGAGTTATGTGTTGCTCTCCTGCAGTTCATCAGTTTTTCAGTGTTAAAAAGACTGAGTTGACACTTTGAAGATGCAGCATTTTTGTACAAAGGATATTTTGTGGACAGCACATCCTTCATGGGATGGGTAACAACATCCCTGGAGTCACACAACTCCTGCTTTTCATTCTGATTCACTTTGAAACTGTTTCTTCAGGTTCATTTTTTCTGTATTAAATTTCTTCTGCTCCACTCTGGAGGTGAATCTCACCTTCAGCTCAGCCATCCCTTTTCCAGTTTTGCCTTCTGTTCCCTCTCCCATGGCTGACCATCCCAGTTTTCATACAATTCCTCCTGGCAGTTTATTCCAACACATCAAATGGAACTTGGCTGTCACCAGCTGACCCAGTGAAAGGGTTTCTCATCTTCCTGGACAGGAAAATGAACAATTTTGGGAAGAAGTTGAAGCTCAGGTTAATATTTCAGCCAAGAGGATGATGATATTTTTAAGGAAAAACCAAAATTCTTTCATCAGTGTTTTTCTATCCTGACAAGGTTGCACCATTCTTTGGGAACAGGATTTTTTTTTTTTTTTTCAGTTTAGAGATCTCAGAGTTCCACAGTCTGGCTGACAGCTGTGGAAAAAAAAATGGATTTGAACAAATGTTTTTCTCTTTCCTGTCAGGAAATTCTTTCTGGAGTGGTGGTCATAACCAGTAAGGACACGGTGCAGCACCAAGGGATCTCCTTAACCATGGAGGGCTCAGTAAATCTGCAGCTCAGTGCCAAAAATGTGGGGGTGTTTGAGGCCTTCTGCAACACTGCCAAGGTAAGACCTGCACAGGTGAATATTTTTACACAAAAAACCTCTCTGTTCTCAAATGAATCCTTTCCTTAAAGGCTCTCAGGTGGTCAGAGCTGCTCATGGTGTGGGAGTGATGGAAAGCAGGGAAATGCTGAGTTTTATGTGGAGATCACAGAATGCCAGGATGGGTCAGGCTGGAGGGGACCACAGAGGGTCACTGGTGTCACCTCCCTGCTCCAGTAGGGCCATCCCAGAGCACAGGAGTGTGTCCAGACAAATTTGGAATATCCCCAGGAAGGGATTTATGAGGACATTTTGGGGAATTAACTCACACTGATGGAGGAATTTTCTTTTAGGCTGAAATGCACTGCCATAAATAGTTTAAAAAGTTACTGGATGATGATGCACTGAAGGGCTGTGATACAAAAAAAAAAATAAGTAAATTGTGTGATGCTATTTTATTTCTGTTGAAGTGACTGGGTTTAACTGGACTTTTGTGCCAGATCAGTCCCTGTCTGTGGAGGCCATGGGGATGTTCCTGGGCATGAGACCAGAGTTGACAGATCCCTCTGGAGAGAATGTGGGGCTCCTGGAGGGCTCTGAGCTGCTCTGGGTTTGGATCCCAGCAGGACAATTTCTCCCAGGCTCCACAGGGACAGGGCTGTGCTGGCTCTGTCTGGGGGCAGATCCATTTGGAAAATGGTTTGGTTAAGTTAGGATGGCCTTGAATCAGGGAAACACAGAAAGTTTGGGATGGGAGGGACCTTAAAGATCACCCAGTGCCACCCCTGCCATGGCAGGGACACCTCCCACTGTCCCAATGTCCAACCTGGCCTTGGGCACTGCCAGGGATCCAGGGTCTGGGAATTCCATCCCAGCCCCTCCCAGGGAACAATTCCTAATTCCCAAAATCCCATCAAATCCTGCTCTGAAGCCATTCCCTGTGTGCTGTCCNACCCCTGCCATGGCAGGGACACCTCCCACTGTCCCAATGTCCAACCTGGCCTTGGGCACTGCCAGGGATCCAGGGTCTGGGAATTCCATCCCAGCCCCTCCCAGGGAACAATTCCTAATTCCCAAAATCCCATCAAATCCTGCTCTGAAGCCATTCCCTGTGTGCTGTCCCTCCATCCTTGTCCCCAGTCCCTCTCCAGCTCTCCTGGAGCCCCTTCAGGCCCTGCCAGGGGCTCTGAGCTTTCCCTGGAGCTTCTCCTGTCCAGGTGAGCACCCCCAGGTGTCCCAGGCTGGCTCCAGCCCTGGGATCAGTTTAGTGGCCTCCTCTGGACTCACCCAACAGCTGCTCTTCTTCCTTCTATTGGAAGCCTGAGAGTTGGGGACAGTAATGGTAAAACTGCAGAGAGAAGAGAAATGTCACCTCCAAGCCACCTCCCCAGCCAAACCACAGTTAACCCTCATTCCAATGAGGGTTCTATTCTCCCCTAATTAATAAAATTTAGAGGTCAGAGGGGCATGGCCCAGGGCTCAGCTCAGCCTTGGTCATTCCTGCTGCTGTTAAGGGTCATCATTTCAGAAATAAAGCTCCACTTCCCAAAGCTGGGAATAAAATAAAATAGAAATTGTTTTCTTGAGCAAAATTTTAATGTTTCTTTTCATTGTAAAAAAAAAATATCCCAGCACTGTGTGTCCTGAAGAGGTCCCTGGGATTCTGGAAATCCAGGAATTCTGGTAGAGTTTAGATGTTGTTGGTTCTCTGTCTCAACCTCTTTAATATTTATCCCTGCAGCCTATTCAGATTATCAACAGCACCATTGAAATGGTGAAACCAGGGAAGCTCCCCAGTGGCAAGACAGAAATTCCCTTTGAATTCCCACTGCAAATGAAGGGCAACAAAGTTCTGTATGAGACATACCACGGAGTCTTTGTCAATATCCAGGTGAGCAGCTCCTGTGTGCAGGGAAAATAGGAAATTTCACCTGCACAACGTCTTCTAAAGCAGCTCTGAATCCATGGAAATTGAGGATGAAGTTGGGTGGTGTTTTTGGTTTTTTTTTTTTTCACACTGACTGAGTTTTCCACCCTTCATCCAGTAAATCTTTAAGGAATGATGGCACAAACAAGATGTTGTACCTGAAATATCTCAGTAGGAGAACTGTAAATCAACTAAATCCATTAAATTTGTTGTAAACCAACTAAATTTGATCCATCCTGATGTTGTAGGCAGCTGCTTCCATTCCCTTCCTGAAAAAAAAAAAAAACAGCACCACTGTGTGGTTGTATTCCAAATAAATGTGTAATTTCATAGGGGAAACTCCAAGTATTGAGAACAACACAAATAAGAAACTGTTTGCTTTTCTGAGTAATATTCCCTGCCCAGATCTGTATGGAATACCTGCCTGGACAGAGTCTTGTGGAAATACAGTTTTGAAATTTGATCTTTTTATGGTCAAAAATTGCCTTATAGTTGTGTTGGTTTGTTTGGGTGATTTTTGGTGGGGTTTTTTTAGGGGGAAAGTTTTTCTTCAGCCATATCTTGAAGGTAAATTCTGTGTTAGACAATGAAGTTTTATATCACTGGAATGAAAAAAAAACTAATTAACCAATTCACCCCCCAGCAGCCTATTAAAACTAAAAGAAAATAAATCCTTTTTTTTTTTTTTTTTGGTCTGTTTGGATGTTTTTTTAAGTCCTTTCCATTTCTTTGCTCAGTTTTGGCTTCTTCCCTCATGTAGCAGCTGTTGTTTGTGGTAGGGATGTCAAAAATGATGCAGCACTGGTTGAGTTGCTTCCCATATCCCAAATAACTTGCTGTGATCAATCAGTCAGTTTGAGGTGCACTTTAATGAGGAATATCTGTTCTATTTTGTCATTCCTTCTCTCCTCTGTGTAGCTTTTCTTGGGTAAAATACCATTAAAATTTCATAATTTCAATTTCAGCCAAACTTTGAGGGTCCTGCTCTCCTGAAGAGGGAATTGTAACACTGAGGGACTGGTTAAGAGACATTTCCTAAACCTCTGGGCAGTTTAATTGAGCCTCTGTTTCTTGATTTAGGGATGAATTGTGGGTTCAAGTCTCTGTTCTGATGCAGAAATCTTTAATCAGACACTGCTGGGGGTTTGTGGCCATGAACCAGCAGTGAGGAACCCAAATCCCTGGTCTGAGGGAGGAATTAAAAATCAAACAAAACAAAAAATACCCCCATCCCAAGAAATTCCCTGGCCTGTAAGGACACTGAGAGGCTTTGTTGGAGATAAGTGTAGGATTTCTGAGATAACCAAATTCTTACTATTTTTCATCCACTGGTTTATGGCTCTCATTTTAGGGGAGCAAATTGGAAGCAAATTCACCTTGTTGCCTGATTTTATTGCTGCTCTGAGCTCAGCTGTGTGGCTGAAGTTCCCCATGAAATATCCCAACAACTGTTCCCACTGAGAATTCAATCCCACAAGAAAATCAAAATTAGGAGGGCTGTGAATACATCAAAATGATAATCCCTTAACCAAAACAGGGGGGAAAAAAATCACCCTTAACTGGATATAAAACAGCAACAGCACTTTGAGGAGAGGCAGAAAGGGGATGAAAAGCTGGGAAAGAGGGAGGAAATGTGAATTAAAGCTGTTTTTTTAACCTGTGTCATCCCATTCCCCCAGTACACCCTGCGCTGTGACATGAGACGCTCCCTGCTGGCAAAGGACCTGACCAAGACTTGTGAATTCATTGTCCACTCCCTGGTGAGTGTGGTTCCTGTTCATTCTGCAGTTAATTCATGGGGTTTGATTGATTTTTCTTTTCCCCCCTCACTTCACTTTAAGGGAAAAAAGCAAACTCCAAATAAACCCATGGAAATGGTGATAGTGACACAAGAATCAGAATATTCTGTGTTGGAGAGGACCCCAAAAATCATCAAAACCAACTCCTGGCCCTGCACAGGACACCCCAAAATCCCATCCTGTGCCTGAGACCTTTGTTCAAAATGTGGGAATACAGGAAATCTGCCCCAAAACAAAACCACCCCAAAGAGCTGTTGCTTGATTAGAAAAACCCATCCCTCCTTTAATTTTAAAGGACAAAGAGGAGTTGGATTTTTTTTTTGAGACATTTTTACAGTTCTCTGAGTTTATTCTTTTATTCATCCTTTGAGTTCTGAGACAATGGGGTGGTCACACAAACACGATGTCATTTTTCCAAACACTGTTTTGAATTCTCCCAGGAGTTCTCAGCCAAAGGTTCCAGGCTCCCACAGTCCTGGAAATGGGAGTTGGGTGGTGGAAGGATCTGATTTCTGTTCTTCAGCTGAGGAGTTCTCATTTAGAGCCCTGACTCAAAAGTGCATCAAGGTGGAAATCATGGAATCTTCATGGTGGGAGAGCCCTTGAACATGATCCAGTCCCATCCCCACCCCAAGCCATGTCCCACATCCAGAGATTCCCTGAGCAGCTCATTCCAGTGCCTGACCCCTCCTGCAAGGGAGACAAGGGAAAACTTGCTTCTCTTTTCTAATTCTAGAATTTCTAATTCTTGTTTCTAATTCTTGTGGGAGGAGGTTGGACTGCCAGAAAATACTTTGCTGGTTGTTACAGAAGTTCCTGTGTCAGATTTGGGGTTGGTTTAGGTTGAGCTGTGCCTGTCCAGAGCAGCTGAGGACAGGACAGAGCTGCTGAAATGTCCCTTTTTCCATCTGTAACTTGCTGGAACATCCTGCTTCTAACATACCTTTGAACTCTAACAGAACAGTAAATATCAAAATCCTTTGTGTTACTCAGGACTTGGGGTGGAAATGTTATTTCAGTTCTAAAGTACCTTTTTAAAAGATTTAATTTGGTGTTACAAACAAGTTTCCTGTTGGTAAGATTTCAATATTTTCTGCAATATCTGATGCTACATTTTATTGGTCCATTATTACATTTATAAGTGAGCCACACTTGTCAGAGGAGTGACAAATCACATCTCCTGCAGTTTTCCTGGCTTTTTTTCTTGTTCTCACTACAGCACTTCTGAACTCACCAGTCAGTAAATCATGAATCTCTCAGTCAGGGTGAATTAATGAGGTTTTACTGAACATATAATTCTCACTGTCAGTGCTCAATGTACCATTTCCCTTCAGCTTATTCTGTGCCAGAATTTGTCATTTTGGGAAAATGCAGCCAATCTTTTGCTAATCTCTTCCATCTTGCAGCTGGGCAGCAGCAGCTATTTTGAATTCTTGAGTAGTGAGGGCAGATCCTCACTCAGAGTTCCAGATCAGCCCCTTGCTGGTGGAGAACAAGAATTTGAAGCAATGGACACAAGTTCATTTAGAATCTGCCCTCCTCAAATTTAATAATGAAAGGAAACATTCCAAGGGATGTGTAAAATGAATTTATTTGTACGTACAGAAATGGGAAATTGAACTTTTTTTCCTTTCTGTTTCAGATGAGGAGGGTATTCCTGCTTTTCCAGGTGTTTAAGGCAACCAGTTGTTGTGGGTTTTTAGTATTCTATGTTTTGGGGATCAGATTTCAGTTTAACCCTTCCATTCCCTGCAGTCACAGAAAGGGAAGCTGCTGCCAAGCCCTGTGGACTTCACCATTACTCCTGAAACTCTGCAAAATGTTAAAGAGGTAAAATGATTTTCTTATTACTTTTATTTTAAATGTAAAGTTTGTGTGTTTCTGAGTGAGACCAGAGGAGTGATTAAATTCTGCCTTTTAGATTATCAGGCAGATTATCTTTTTCTTATTTTTCCATTTTCTTTTTCACTTTTATAAGCAATCAAGTGATTCTGCCTCATCTCTTCCATATGGTGACCAGTTGAAGGTGGAACTTTGCTCAGAAGTGGTTAAATATTTTCATCCCTTTCCTGTGTGAAAGATGGGAGTGGAGCAAGGGAAAACATTCTATATCATGGACAGCTAAGAGCCTTTAAAAATGTGTATTTTGAGCCTTGGTTATGTCTTTTTTTACAGCCCCCTGTGGCTTTGGGAAGCCTCAAGGAGGGCAGGGCTGGATGGGATATTGGGAATTAGGAATTGTTCCCTGGGAGGGGCTGGGATAGAATTCCCAGAGCAGCTGTGGCTGCCCCTGGATCCCTGGCAGTGCCCAAGGCCAGGTTGGACACTGGGGGTTGGACATTTGGGACTGGGACACTGGAAGGTGTCCCCACCTCCTTCACCACAGGGTTCCAGCTCCTCCATGGATTCTGACAGCCAAGTTCTGTCAGTTGTTCCCAGGAAAGGTCCATCCATGGGGTGGATGGAGGAGCAGGAAGGATGCATGCCAAGGGAGAAGATTGTAGGAGAAATCCTGATACAGACTGAAAGAAATAAATTTCAGCTCCGTGAGCAATTTCTGAACCCTTGAGTTCTCAACTTTGGCCTTTCGGGAGAATTTCCTATTTGTTTTAATAACTTCCCGTTAATTGTTTATTTTTTCCCTCTTAGTCTGCTCTTTACAGTGACATTTTTTTTCTCCTCCTTCCAACTTTTTCAGAGAGCTTCCCTTCCCAAATTCCTGATCAGAGGGCACCTGAACTCCACCAACTGTGTGATCACGCAGCCGCTGACGGGGGAGCTGGTGGTGGAGAGCGCCGAGGCGGCCGTCAAGAGCATCGAGCTGCAGCTCGTGCGTGTGGAGACCTGTGGTGAGCCCCTGGCCCAGCAATTCCCTCCATCCCTGCTCAGGGAACCAGGGAGCAGCACTAAAGAAAGGCCAGAGCATCGAGGCCTTGTAGGGTGTCACTTTTATCTTCTTTTGGTCGGGGTTAAATGCTCAGGATGGTAGGAGTCTTGTTGGGACTCAGATGTTTATTAATTCTTATCTATGTTACAGTGAGTGCTACAGCACTTCAAGCTAACAAACTAAAAATGGAGCCCTCTCTCCATTTGTCTCTCTCTCTACAAGGCCTTTTAAGGGTTAATTATCCAATTAAGAAGTTACACCTAAATTATTTTTACTTTTAACCCAATAACCAACCACCCGTGGCCCACAGTGCAGGCTTTTCTACCCAATCTCACAATATTACCTAGACCCATGAAGAAGGTGAAGAAGAAAAAAACCCTGAACCTCCATCCTGCTTTCTATATATTTCTAAATATATTCTTTCTGTATATTCTCTATATATCTTTCTGTATTTTCTAAAACCTTAAAGTTTCCCACCATGTGATATCACACACTTCTATTCAAACCACACCCCCATGATCCCAGTTCTATCATTCCATTTTGGAAGCTTCTCCACGGCCTCAGGTCAAATGCAGAGTTCTCCTGGGGGTCAGTGCCTGGCAGCACAGAAAATCTCAAATTCTCAATTTCCAGGGTTCCAGCAGGAGGGTTCTGCACTTTGGAGGAACAGCCCCGATGTTAATTTAAATTATCTCCGTGATCCTTAACTCTGTGCAAACTTGCTGGCTGTTTTTCCCCCCCCTTATTCCTGGTGTATCTCCATTGTCAATTTTGGCTGCTGCTTTCTCCTCATCTGCCCCCATTTCCCTCCTCTCCCAGGGTGTGCTGAGGGCTATGCCAGGGACGCCACAGAGATCCAGAACATCCAGATCGCCGACGGCGACGTCTGCAGGGGCCTCCCCATCCCCATCCACATGGTGTTCCCCCGGCTCTTCACCTGCCCCACCCTGGAAACAACCAACTTCAAAGTGGGTGAGTGGGGAGGCCACTTGCATTCCCTTTAGATGGGCTGGTGAGGGGATAAAATGCTGCAGTGCTGCAGGAGGAGCTCAGGACATCCCTGTGCTTCCCTGAGCCTGAATCTGCTGCGTTTCAGACTGAGAAAACACAGCCCCAACACTTCTAACACTAAAGCTGTGCAGCCACTAAGCTACTCCTAATAAAATTCCATCATCAGGGGACAGGAGGAGCAGTGGAATGCAGGTTATGTGATTAAACACTTGAGGAATAGTCCAGTAGTAAAATTCCTTCTTTCCCTCACCAGTGAGAACCCCTCTTTCCATTTCTTCTCCTTCTTGTTTCCCACTCTCCTGCTGAAAGCCCTGGAAGCAGCAAAGTTGATCAGGGTGTGACTTCTCTTATCTACACCACTTGCTCCTCTCAGATGATTGTTAAAATCCAGTATTTTTTATTCAAATCCAGTATTAACAAAATCAGGATTTTCCTCACTTGCTCAAATAAGTACTGCAAGAATCCACTTGGCTGGTTTGTATTTCTTCCCTTCATCCTGCTGGAATCTTTTGCAGTATGCAGTATTTTTCCCCAAAATTATAATATTCTTTATTTTTTTGCCATTTTATGCTCTTCACTAGAAATTTGCAATGAGAATTTGAATTTATTTTCATTTCTGCTTCCCTTAATTTGTTATCTCTGCCTGGCTTCTTGTTGTTTCCATTTAGGATTGATTATTGATCTGATACTGGTTTTGGCTTTGAAGGACACAATATAGTATTCAGGAGTAGATTTTCCTCTGGAATTTTAGTTCCCCAGTTTGCAGGCCTGTTGTATTCAGTATTTAATTTCCTAAGGCTGGAAACAGGGACTGGGGCTGTCCTGGAATTCTCCCATTCCATGCTTTAAACACCATCTTGGTGGAGGTGCCTTTCCCAAAACATTTTGTTCTTTGATGTCTGAATCCTCTTTTCCAGAGGGTTGTTTGCCATGATTTATCAGTGATAAAACAATCCAGAGGAATCCCAAAGATTAGAACAAAGCAGGATTTTCTAGGAATGGTCCAAGGACTGGGATGCCTGGGTGAGGTTCTGCCTGGAATGTTTCAGGAACTCCTGTCCCATCCTGCTCCTAGATTTCAGCTTTCCTGTGAAATTGAAGTGGGATTGCTCCTAGATTCAGCATTCCTGTGGAAATTGAAGTAGGATTGCTCCTAGATTTCAGCTTTCCCATGGAATTGAAGTGGGATTGCTCTTAGATTTAGCTTTTCCTGTAGAGTTGAAATGGGATTGCTCCTAGATTTCAGCTTCCCATGGAATTCTCTCTTTTTTCCCCTTCTTCCAGAGTTTGAAGTGAACATCGTGGTCCTTCTGCACGACGACCATCTCATCACAGAGAACTTTCCCCTGAAGCTCTGCAGGATGTGAACAACCACTGGAGAAGCAGGGAAGGATTCACTGGGAATTCCTCAGAGGGAAAGTGGAACTTTATCCATGCCTGACTTCAGCTGGAGCCACCTCACTTCCTTCTTCCTGCGGGCATTTCTTGTGCTTTCACTTCCCTGTTAACCTGGCCAAGACTTTGCCTCTCTGGATTTCCCAATCCTGCTGCCTTCAACAAAACCATTCCCAATTTCTTCTCAGGCAGATCCTGAAGGAATCATGCTGTAGCTTTCTACAGCTTGTACAAGTATGGAGCAAGTTCCTCTCTTGCTTTAATTTTGTAATATTTGTTCCAAAGGCCTTTGAAGACCCCTTAAAGCTCACGAATCCCATGACAGCCATTCTGGGAGGGTATGGGAATTGTGCCAGAATGAGAAGGGAAGTCTTTGAAGGTCTAAAAATGGTGCTACAGCTCTGGAAGGTGGTGGTGTGGGATCTGTCCCAAGGTGGATGGGAAATGAGTGATTTCAAATCACACCAAGGAAATTTTTGGTCAGATTGGGAAGAGGAGTTGGTGTTGGAGGAAGAAATTAAAGTGTTTGTGACTGTACAGCTTAAAGAAAAAGTAATTCAGTAAGAAAGAACCTTCCCAACACAAACAGGCTGTGAGTTTGATGTTGTTTGAATGGAACAGCCACAACTTGTGGATTTTCCATTAATTTTCCATGTAGGGTAGAGGCAGGCTCAGTATATATTATGGAAAGTGGAAGTGTAAAGATGAGCACCTAAGAAAACTAAGAAAAATAATTTCCTTTGCTTTATCCAGCAGCACTGCCAAGCAGGAGAAGGTCATTCCAGTTCGGGCCCTGGTGTTTTAGGAAGAAAAAGCTGAAATTTTCATTTCAATGTCTGGGAAGGGGGAGGAAAATGCTATTTACTGAAACTTCAGCACTTTTCCCTGAGACCAGGGATGGTACAGGGGGATTTAGGGAAGAGCTGCAGCCCCCCAGAAATACTGGAAGCTGAAAAGGATTCCAGTGCTGGCATTTTTAGGCCTTAATTCTACAGCACAGAGTAGTTACTCACCCCTTGCTCAGACTGAGCAGACATACTACACAAGAACAACGTGTTTGGCTGCAGCAGTGATTTTATTTTTTATTCAAGTGGTAATTAATTACACTGATTAATGAGAGAAGAGTTTAAAACTTCAGCTGGAGGAGATGTAGCAGTGTGGGGAACAAGTGATCCCTGGAATTAGCCAAGAGCTCCTAATCCATGTGATGTTCACTAGATTCACACAACAGAATATTTGAGTTTCACTTTAAGATTCTCAGGCTCTGGTTCTCACCTTTTGGCTGTTTGGGACAAATCTGTCAGTGTTGAAGATGGTCTGGCCACTTCAGACTCAGAAAACAGTGGAATAATAATTCCCTGAGCTGCTAGAATTCTGACCCTCCTGCTACTGGTGACCATTCCTGCACAAAATCCAAAGGAAGTGTCACTTAAAAATCCTTTAAAAAATCATTCCTGTTTAAACAGAGCAGCAGGGGAGGAAATTCAAATCTCAACCCTATTTTGAAATTAAAGAATTGATCCACATGATTAATTTAAAATTCTTGCTTCAAAATGTAAAAGTCATTATTTAAACAATTTGAATTCTCAGCTGTGGATTTATGCAGAGAGAGGAGCTACAAAGACCACACCAGGCTTGAATCCTGAATTGTTTATTCCAGAGGAAGGGAATGTCTTGGTTTCCAATTCTGTTGGTTCATCCTTTGGGTCACCTACTTGATATTGGAAAAATCTGAGGGACAAGCCCTCTCTTCATAGGAATTACGCGCTGGCCCTTTCAGATAAAATTATTTGGTATTTTCAGTGTCCCTTAGCCAAAAATCCACTGGTTTTGTGTGCTGCCAGCCCTGAACTCCACAGCTTTAGGAGAAATCCCTTATCTTGGATTGTGGCTTAATACCAAGTGCCAAATCCCGAGGTTGTTCCCATGGCCAATGAAGCCCAGGGGTTCTGTGCTGCCCCCCAGCACTGGGGTTGTGCTGCAGCCCTTTTGGATCTTTTAATTCTGAAGTGTGGAGGTAAAAGCAGGTTCAGCTGTACTTGTTCCATGCAGGAAGCTCAGGGAAATCCTCAGGAAGCAGAGCATGGACACGGCAGATGGGGCAGGTGCTGGAATGCTGCTTGAGCCACGTTCGGATGCACTGTGGGGACAGGGAGAGGGTGACAGGCAACATTTGGGGAGCAGAGTCCAGCTGGAGGCTGAAAATTATTGGCACTAATGGGGAAGCTCTTCAACAAGTTCTACACCACTGAAATTTGAGGGTGGAGAATTGTTCTCCTGCTCTAATCAAATTGATTCTGCGAGAACAATTCAGCATTAAAAGAAAAAAAGGTAAAGGGGAAAAGTCACAGACAGAAATGTGGAGTTACTCCAACATAATCCTGCCTTTTTAACTTCATGAATTTCCACCATCAGGAGGCAAATAGAGAATTCCCAGGGATAACCCATTCCCTGAGTGTGCTGCCAGCAATCCCAACCCAATTCATTCTCTGAAGGATCATCTGAAATCCACTCTGATGAATCATTTTACTTTAATCATTTTACAGTCAGGCTGGAAAAGGAACCTGTGCCCTGTTGCTTAAGCACTGGAGGGTAAGGAGAGGGTAAAGGGGTTTTTAGGATGAGGAACAAGAGCAGAACTCACCTCTCTGTGGAAGTGATGGCCACACTCGAGCTCACAGCAGTCTTTGCTCAGCTCATCGTGACAGATGGTGCAGGGATCCTCACTGGAGGCCTGGCCAGGAAAGGAATGCTCAGTTATTTAAAAACCATCAGCAATTAACCAGCACATTCTCTACTCAATTAACGAGGTCACTAACTTTAACCAAGTCTATTGAAGCTTTTGTACACAAAATAAACGAGGCAATTATTTTTTTTCCCCAGGATTATTTCGTGTCTTGTACAAAACACATGGCAACAACTCCATCGAAAGAGAGGAAAACTTACACCATTGTCCTGCTTTTTCCATTTGGCTTTGGGTATAGCTCCAGCGTTTCCCCAGGGCTGCAGGTTTGGCTGAGAGGGGTTTTTACTGGAGGAGGTTTTAGGGGCGGGTGCTGCCCGGGGAGAGCCGGGGGTGGTTCCTTCCACGGGCACTTCCCTGCTCCGTGCTGGGGCTGGGGCAGGCACGGCTCTGCCTGCTGGAGGTGCTGCCTGCACAGGGATCAGAAAGGAATTGTGTTCCTTGGGGCTGTGCTGCTCCATTGCCATGTGTGGAGAAGAGGAGCAGCTGCAGCCCCGGTACCTTGGGCTGCTGGTCCAGGATGAGCTCCATGACCTGGCTGAGGATTTCATCCGGGCTCAGGTCTGCCACCCTGTTCTCATTTCTCCTCTGCACGTCCTTGATGAAGGCAAGGAGCTCTAAGCTGCAGGGACAGGAAAGGCAGATCAGGGATGGCCTCTGGAGAGCACTGCAGGCTCCCTGTTTGATCCAAAGAGACACCAGCCTTCCCCATGAACTGCAGCCTGCTGCCAGTGACTCTCAGTAACCAGGACGAAATCCCTGAACGATCATCAGAATCATGGAATGGCTTCCATGGCTGGGAGAGACCTGAATGCTCATCTCATTCCAACCCCCTGCCATGGGCAGGGACACCTCCCACTGTCCCAGTGTCCAACCTGGCTTTGGGCACTGCCAGGGATCCAGGGGCAGCCACAGCTGCTCTGGGAATTCCATCCCAGCCCCTGCCCACCCTCCAAGGGAACAATTCCTGCCCAGTATCCCATCCCTCCCTGCTCTCTGGCAGTTAAACACATTCCCCCTTGTCCTGCCCCTCCATCCCTTGTCAGCAGAACAAAATCAATTCGTTTTGCACTTCATCCCTGGCTCTTCAGACCTTGTTTCACAGCATTCCTTCAATCCAGTACCTGCTGTAGTTTGGGAATATACTCTGGAGCTGGGCAAAAATCTTGGCAATTCTTTCTGGAAGCTTTTTGTTGTTTAGAATTCCAAAAGGTCTCTGTTGCAGAGCTGAAGGATCTTGGTGGGTCTGGCTGGGCTGGACATGGTGGGAGTTACTTCCAGAAATCCCTGATGGGCAGGATGGTGGGAGTTTATTGGAATGTGATCCCTCTGGAGCTTTGGGATGTGTTTTCCCAGCTGCTGAAGACGCCTCAGAGGTGACAGGTGCTGGCTTAGCTCCAGTCTGTGCTTGCAGTGGAGGCTGGGCTGGAGCTTTTCCATCAGAAGTCAAAAATGCAGGAAGGGCAGTGGGATGTGCAGATGCTGAGGAATAGGTGACAATGGCAGGGTCACACAAGGGAGATCTGCCTGGTATTGTCTAGGAAACAAACACAGTGCACAGGAAACAGTGATTAAAACCAATTCAGCTGAACTCTGGAGCATTTGCAATTTGTGAATTGTCACAGGTTTGGTTGTGCCCAGGATCTCAAAGGTGACAGCAGTTTATCTTAAGAATTCCCTTACATCAGTGCAGTTGTTTGACCTCATGATTATTTCTCTTCTAAAAGGTCACTCTGGTGTTACTGCAGAAAAAATTAAATTCCAGATGCAGAACAAGAGGCACAAAAGCTGCTCTTTCCCAATAAATTGGTGGTGATTAAGTTGTCTCCATATTCTGGGTAAATAAATAGAAAGGAGAGACCTAAAAATAAGTGGGGAATTATGGAGGAGAACAGGAGTGGAACTTGCAGAAGCCCAGAAAATTGTAATAACAATCTCAAATATTAGACCAGAGCCCCGAATCTAAATTACTCCCAGAACAAAAAATAAAACAAAAAACAAACCAAAAAACCCCCACAAACCAAGATTTTCTACAGAGAAAAAAAAAATAACCTAAAAAGGACCAATCAAAGGTGTCAGAAGAAACTGCTTTGATTTGAGCAAAGCAGTGGTGGAGCTGTTGGGCCATGAGGAAATGTCTGTGAATGGGATTTCTGGGGCTATTCCCATTCCAGCTGCATTCCTAAAAACGGCTCTGCTCCTCCACCTCCTTCCTGACACACTTGGCTGGGAGCCCAGGTTGGTGTTTGCAATCAGTGCCACACGGTGGTGCAGGAATTCCTTCAGGAATTCCTTTGGGAAAGTTTCCCCATGGAAAAACATGGATTTGGGACAACATGGGTTTCACCTCGAGGGCTGTGTCCAGTTGTGGCTCCTGCAGGAGAGCCCTGGAGGGGCTGGAGGTGTCCAGGGCAGGGAAGGGAGCTGGGAAGGGGCTGGAGCCCCAGGAGGGGCTGAGGGAGCTGGGAAAGGGGCTGAGGCTGGAGAAAAGGAGGCTCAGGGGGGACCTTGTGGCTC